ATAAATTTGACTCACACCGTTTTAACTGCAACACTGCAATCACATCCCCTTCCATGTAGAAAACAGAAAGCCAATCAACATCATAACTTCTCCAGAAATCCACCTCCCTTCTCTGCAGACTTTCCAGCTACTTCTGACTTCAGAGCAAGAATAAAACCTTTAACAGGTATTCCCAAAATCTGACAGGGTAGGAATTGGCCTCTCTTTCAAAATAAATTGCAGTTATAAAAAGAATCCCCTAGCTGAACATACCTATCATCTATGCTTACTCACATTCAAAATAAATGCCCGTTTCACCTCATATCTATAATCACAATTATGCAGTCATCATTTTAAGGTGCAATACTATAGAAATTATGTAAGCAAGGTTAGCGTGCTCTTGTTAAAACATTTCAATATATTTACATCATGAAATAATGCCTCATTTCTTCAGTTCAGAAATCAGACATTGCTTTGGGGTGGGGGGGGGGTGGCGGGGGGGGAGATGGAAGAGAAGAAGCAATTAAGCCCAAGATCACAATGACTTGTACTTCTTGAAGTTTCTCTCATGCAACTGCAAGTGCCAATTGCAATTGATTTTTCTATTATTCCAGTCTTGGTACTTGCAGTCAAACAATGCTGAAAAGTGCTAATGGGACTTCAAAATATTAATTCTTTAAGTGTTGCCAGTAACTTACATACAACACCAATGGTTTCTCATTACTAATAATAGTAATTCTCCTGATGTTAATTCAAAGAAAAACATGCTTTGTCATCTTTGTAAGGGTGGGGAGAAAGGGACAAACATATTTAAAACAGAGATAATTCCCTAGAGTGCAGCCAAAGGAAATCATCATTTGGAGCTCCTTCAGCTATCTAACAAGACAAGCTACTACTATTTTTACTGAACTGAGGAACTTCACACTTTTCTTCCACGCTGTTGGGTGAATGGTCCAGACTGGCATTAGAGTTGTTGCAGAACCTTGCATTCAGTCTCAGCAGTTTAGGCCCAACTGTACACTCTAGTCCTGAGCATTCAGACACTATCTTTTACTGATAGCCAGCAAAATATTTAAAAACAAATACAAGGGAAATGTGACATCCATTCTTTGTAAAAGGTTAATTTTCTGAATTTTACCATTGATCACACAATTTTAACTGACACTCCACAGAATATGGAATTATTAAGAGAGCTGTCATAGCAACAATTAGGGACACAAAGCAGACCAGCAATAGGCTAGACTTTGTTTATGGAATATATGGAAGTAAGAAGAGAGGCTTTTACCTCTCTAGGGCTTGCAACTGATGCTCCAGCTAGATCTTACCTGGAAAAGCACCAGCACCAAAGCAAAGCCCCAGCATACAAATTTCATAAAAGGACAGAAAACTAATTTCTTTCCTCACCCTGCTAATTGTCTACATATTTGAAGCTATCTCTACCAGCAAAACATAGTTCAGTCACATGAAGCATCAGAGCAGCCTTCCACATCCTCATATCAAGAACAGAAAAAATTAACAGTGCTATAGTCTATCAAGCAGCTAACTGTGTTCTGCATCTTTCAGAGCTGGACTAACATATACATTACAATGTGCTACTGTTTCTGTAAAGCTAATCCATTATTATTATAAAGCAAGTTAAAACAGCTGCTGAGGTAGCCTTTATTCTTAAAAAAATCTGATAATTTGCTTGGTTTTGCTCAAAACCAGTTCTCAGTGGTTAGTAGCTATCAAAGTTTAGCAAGAAAGTTTGTTAAAACTTCCCTTACAAATAAGGAGTAGATTGTTTAATGGAAAGGAAATTCTGCATGTAGTTAGTGAATTATCTTGACTGGTATTTCTTGTTATTGCAACCAACACGTTATAGCTCATTTTGTATTACTCGTTTTCATTTGTGTACAAGAAAAAAAAAGTTTTCCTACTTTGTCAAATTTCAAAAATCTTCTAAACCATCACTAGTATTGCAACAAGTACTCTTGCTAAACTGAGAATGATGTTGTCAAAAATTGAGCTGCCAATAAATTCAGAAGGAAGTTTTCATTACACATCTCAAAGAGGTTTAAAGAGCAACTGAAGAGAAAAAAAAAATGGAAAAATAAAACTACTCCTCACTTTTTCTAAAGCTCCTTCTTTAGACACAACATGGGCTGAAGATGCAGACAGCACAGGCCATCAGTCTGAAAGACATTCTAGAACTTCTTGTAAAGTAAGTCCCACTGAAATCCTATGTAATGTTTGTTCCCATCAGAATTTAAGACCCTGTTGACCAGCAAGAGCCAGATTTATAAAACACCAGCTGCCCCGCTGTAGTCAGGGCAGTACAGTTGCTGACACACAAGAGGCAAGAAGGATGAAGACAGTTGTCTGAAAACACAAGGGACAGACCATTGTAACTTGTGTCCATCATGGCCTCACCAGACAAGGAAGTGCTGAAACAGTAAGTCACACAGAAATAGGCCGCACTGGGTCTTGAAAAGCAAAGGAGACATCTGATGAACAAGAAAAGGGGAACAAGCGAAAAGACACAGAAAGGCCAACCCAACAGACCAGGGAAGTGATCACTGCAGCAGGACTCTGAGTGCATGCAAGCTGAATGTACTCAGCGTGACTGCAGAAATACGCTCCGGCGGCCAAGATGCTGAAAAATCGGGGAAGGGTGTTCACTCAGTAGGTAAATAAGTATAGTGCTTGGCACCCAACAACATGATTTCTGATGCAACTAAAATAAGATGACCTGTAGTTAAGGGCCAAATAAAAAACACAGCCAGTATTTTTTCCTGACGGGAAATGCGATATTCCCCTGAAATTACTGATTACAAGGTCCTACTCCTAACTGCATCCACACAAAACTGGACTCAATCTGATGAGGTCTGCATATATGGAAACAGTCAAAGGGAGAAGGAAACTGATCTTGAGAAACTGTAAGTTATGTTTTAACTGCATGATAACACTACATGTAGAAACAGATTCTAACTTTTCTTCATGCTTAAATATATTTAAGAATAATATTGTCTACACTTAAATTATGAAACTAACAGTTACAGTGAGGAGAATGTTTTTAAATTTTTAATGTCTAGAAAAGAGAAAAAAAAGAGACAGTGATCTTGGCCATTCTAGACATTAGCAAACTATACAAGTCTGCAAATATCCAGCATTTTTTTTTATCTCATTTCACTATATGTTCTTAAACAAAAATATTACTTTGAGAGAAGAAAAAATCCCAACAGATGTAGTGGCTGTCCGGTGTCCCCTCTCCTCAAAGTTATTAAGATAAATTTAGGCAGCCTGCAGACGTGCAGTTTTCACTATTGCCCTACTCTAATGTCGGTCTGCCATAAATTCCACCTCAATTTTCACATATAAAGTGGGGGGGGGGGAAAAAAAAAAAAAAAAAAAAAAAAAAAAAAAAAAAAAAGAGAGATTTAGGCATTTATAGAACACTATACATGTATCAGTAGGCTTGAAGCAATCTGCATGTTCTTGCAAAATGTGGAAAGGGGTCATGGGTGTGGCTGCATACAGTTTTCACAAGGTGTTTCAGCTACCAAGTCACCATGGGAACACGCAAAAGCCATGCTGAAAAGGATTCCTTCCAGTTCCCATGTCAGGTGGGTCCTCTGACAGCCAAGAGTTGTCTGGTTGGTTGAAGAACTTCCCACAGCTACTTTTCAGGCAGGCAAGCAAAGCCTGCAACTTTGCTAGCCACCCCCCCATAGTCATCTCCTTGGCAGAGACCAAGGAATACTTCACCCTGAACCATCTTTTCTACAAGTATTTTATATACAGGGACTAGAAGTAAAGGACATGAGAACACAGTCCTCCAGGCACCTAGGCTAAGTACCATAACTGGTCATCACACAGATAAGCAATAGGTTTTACCTCAAAAAGCCAATGGAGCAAGTGTCATCCACACCGATACGCCAGTGCTATCAGAAAAAAAAAAATTCAATTTCAAGACAATAAAGTGCCTTGGATAGGCAAACACTGCCATCATCCAACAGAACAAACAGTCCAGTATGAGGCACCGACCCAGAACATTCTATGCCACCCTTAAAATAATCTAAATTACTATGGTCAATGCTTACATATCACACTCACCAACACTATTCAATGCAGATTATTAACCCTGACCACCCACCAAATACCTTTCATGTAAAAATAGGTCATGTATTTTTACAGGTTTAACTCACTTGGCAAATTTTAACCTCCTGGGGAAATCTGATTGCTCATGATACTAACAGAACCACTTTCCTAAATGCCCTGAAACTTTGAACTGATACAAATTGAAAGCTTCATGATACTTTTTTTAGCTATCATCCAGGAAAGCAAAGCTAAATTTTTCAGGTGTCAGAAAGCAAGCCTTCACCCTTCAAGATTTAAGCAAATTCAGCTTTGGACAAATAACCTTCACGGCAGGATAAAATGACAAATTATAAAACACACGTAACACAATCATCATGCTGGAGAAGTATCTGTATGCCAGACACCTTGCTGACATATTAAAAATAGAAAATCAATCAGTCTTTGTAGAGAAAACTGAGTACAGGGGAAAGTCTCCTTTCCAGCAACTAGAAAACACTGCCAGATTCCCCCCTGTGAGAGCACCTCTGGACACAGCCATTTCTGGCCCACACTGATCCCCAAATACCTGCTTGCCTCACAGCTTAGCTGCCCAGCTGCTTTGGGACAGAAACCCCTACCAGGCAGCGGCAAACCGAGGCAGCTAACTCCTAGCAATTACGTACAACAGCAAAACTGTCCGGCTGAAGACAGCCAACACGGAGCCTTTACGTGAAGCCACCGCAGAGGAGGGAGACCCAAAGGGGCTTAAGTCGGAGCCGGCGTTCAGGGCCCGAGCGGGGGCACGGCTCCGGCGAGGCCTAGGGCCGAGGCGGGCCCCCTCCTCGCCAGGTGCGCTCCTCCGGACGCGGGGCCCGCGGCGGCGGGGAGGCCCCGCGGCCCCTCGCCGGGCGGAGAAGCCCGGCCGCCGGCGGATCGCGGGGGAGGGCGGGCCCGCCCGGCCGGCTGCCGCCCGGAGCAGGCACGGCGGGCTAGGCTCCGGAGCAGCCCCCTCCCGTCCCGCCCTGCCGGCCTTGGCCGCGGAGGAGAGGTAAGAGGGGCCCGGCGCTGCCCTGGGCGAGCTGGCCGGCGCCTCTGCCCGCCCCGGCCGAGGGGGGAGGCTGCCTGTTACCTAGGCAGGTCGGAGGCCCCAGCGGAGGGCAGAGCACCCTCTCCGCCGCGGGCCGCGGCTGCCCGCTAGGGCGGACGGAGAGCCGCTCCCTGTCCCCCCACCCCGCCTCCCCGCACCCCGCGGCAGAGCTCTTACCTCTGCTAACATTATTACCCCGCTGCGCCGCGGCGCCTCTAGCCCCGCAGCATGGCGAAAGCCTCGCGGCGGCGCGGAAAGTTCTCACCCTCCGGGGAGGGGAGGCGAGGCGAGGCGAGCGCCGCCGGCCCCCTGGCCGCCTCCTTCAGCGGCCTCCCGCCGCCCCCAGCCCCGCTGCCGCCCTCGCAGCTCGGTCCGGAGAGGCCGCCATCTTGAGCGAGCTACGTGCACCGCCACCGCCGCTCCCCGCCCATTGGGGCTGCGGGACGCGGGGCCGCCTCACGCCCCGCCCCGCCCCGCCCCGCCCTTCCTCCCGGTGCGCGCCGCTGCTCCGCCTGGGCCGGTGCCCGGTGCCCGGTGCCGCGCACGGCCGGCCCCCTGCCAGGCTCCGGCCGGGAAGGCGCCGAGCCCCGCGGCGCGGAGGGTCCCGGGGCCGGGGACGGCTCGGGGTGTTAGTGCCGGCGCCCGCCCCGCGGCGCAGACCGAAGGGAGAAGTTGTGGGCAGCGGGACTGAAAACGTTGTTGTCAAAGCCGTTCTGCCACGGGGTTTTTTTTTTTGGTTGGTTGGTTTTTGGGTTTTTTTGTTTTTTTTTTGGTTTTTTTTTTCCGCTCTGCCTCCCTTGAGACGCTTGTGTTCCTTCTCTCTGAGCTCTTCGGTGCCAGGCAGCTGTCCTGAGGACGTTAATTGAAATCTTTTTTACAATTTCTGACCCAGCGGCGTGCCTCTCACTCACCAGTACCTTATGCAGCATTGCATGTCATTCCCTGCCCTAGATGTTAAGAAAAAGATATTTGTAAGTCTGCTACAGACAGTGTTGTTAAGTAGTGGCGTAAACTGTGGAACCCAAACACATCTCGGAACCAGCCAGGCCAGTGAGCCGGCTCAAGGGGCGACCACCACAGCTCAGTATTTAAATACATGACATGAAAAGAATTTTGTCTGAACCTTGGTGGTTTTCCCTTAAGCGCTGTTCGGGGGTGTGTGTGTGTGTGTTTACTTGCTTGCTTTTTAACTAGACTTCAAAGTTACAAAGTTAGCCTTAGGTGCATTAGGAGAGAGAAACAAGATGGGGAATTTTTTCTGCATTGCTAGTAATAAAAAATGCATACCAAAGAAGTAGTAATGGTTAGCAGTGAAGACAGAGGAAAAGCAACACTACTATTGCAATGTGAAGAAAAACAACCTTCTTCAATTACAGTGTTTTTTCTCTCCAAATAAAAGCAAAGCCCCTTTCCTTACAGAGGTGCAAAGGGCATTAGGCCTTAACAAACCCCTAGGTGGGTTTTGTAGAAGCTCTCTAATTTTCCCAGGGATTGTGAAATACTTCACACTTCAAGGTTGCCCACTTCTTAGTTTTATTTGTGAGTATTACTGAGTTTCGGTTTTACTCATAGAACTGTTTTTTCCCCTGTGAGAGACCTAGCTGTTAGTGACATGGATCGCCATTTCAAAAAAGCAGACCCTCAATACTCGTAATTGTTTATTTGCCTTTTCTAAATAATCCAAAATACTAACTTTTTTTGAGTATCTAGTAAGCTTTGTACTTATGAGTCTGTATTTTTGAATGTTTCATGTTAGCATTACTCTTCCCTCCAAGCTGATCCCTTAGAGAAAATCCAAATCTCACAGCATACACAACTCTATCTTAAACAATAGGTTTAAGAATAACAGAACCATGCAGTGGTCTTGCACATGGTATTTCACCATCCTGATAAATTAAAAATTGTTCAAAAACATTGAGCAATGGGAGTTGTGAAATACCAATTCCATTGTATCGCTTTGGTCCCCTAACATTTATTTGCAGCATTCCATAGATGCTTATTTGGAAGACAGTCATATATGTACGCAGCTGTAGTTCTCTATTTGTGGCTTTCAACAGACTTCAATTCAGCCAAATAATACCCTGTGCTCAGGTCTGTAGAAGAGGAAACCCTGAAGGAACCCATAGCAGAGTGCTCAGTAAATTATCAATGTCTAATTGCGCAAAAACATCAACACACACTTAGCTAGGTAGGAAATAGAATCAGAATACTTAAAACACATACTGTTTGCCATGTGACTTAGTCATAAATACATTCACTTGGCAGGGCACAGTATCATACACTGATAAGATAAACTACCCATATTATAAAATGTAAGGGGTAAACAGGAGGTAAAAGTCTCATGATATTTATGAATACATATAAATGACAGTAGTTGAAGCAAGATGATGGTCTAGCAAAAGAAACTGTCTCTTGGCACTGTATTTCTTTACCTTGTATGTTTAGACACATCACATAAGGTTTTCAAAAGAAGTAATCACCTTTGAAAACTTACTGCAAAACTGCATATATCTTAAGTGTGCCAGATGTAAAAGAAGAGCAAACATTATACAAGATAAAGTCACAATTAATACTTTGTACTTGAATTTGCCCCTACTTGTGCTTGGGATTCGGCAGCCCAACAGCATACTAGTCAGGGAAGCACCCTCCATTCTTGTACTGCTGGAATAAACCTACTGATACTTCTACAGAAAACTCTTCTCTGATATCACACCTGTCAGCATAGCCTTAATATTGTTGCAAAATAGTTGTTAATGATATAATCCATTGTTCTAATTTTTGGTTAATACCATCTCATCTTCCAAAGGGAAAGGTAGTATCATTGCAACAGCAGGAATGAGGCTGTGAGGAAGGACTGAAACACACAAAAGTAGACTCAAGGTGGAAGAGGAGGCAGCACTATAAAGGAGAGGTGAGAAGAGGCAGCAGCTTGGAAAGAGGATGATATGAGGGACTTCTTGAAAAACTAATCTGCTGGGAATAGCACAAAGGAGGAAGAGAAAAGAAAGTTGCCCATCTCTGAGGAATTATACAGTTATGTTGCCTGTTCCCATTCTTGGAATAAACTGAAAAAATGTAAGTACAATTTTTTTTTTTTTTTTTTTTTTTTTCAGTGGAGGAGGGTGTTTCTAAATTAGTATGAGCAGGTCTGGAAACAAGACTTCAGCTGTGATGGAAAAGATTATCAATGGTAGGCCAGAAGCACTTGAACACTTATTTGTTTCTCTGATCCCACCTTTAAGTGACAGTAACGCTATTGGACTTGGTGAGTCATCCATCGCAGAGTCATATTCCTTACACTTTATCCCTGTGCATTTGTTACACATACAGCTTAGGACCGGTGGTGCAACGGTCTAGCGTACTTAACGGAAGCGCTGCAGCCACATTAGCGCTGTGCTCAACCAGGCAGAGCAGCACGCTCATTATTTTCGTGTTACTTCCACAAACTCACAAGCACTCTGCGAAGAACTGTGTTAGGGCAAGTATATATGTCTGTAGTCAAATGCAAACCTGGCAGAAAGGTTTTTGCACCTACTCCTTAAAATACTCAGAGAATTTTCTTTCTCATAGGCCTAGACAAATGCTTATTTCTACTAGAAGTACCACCTTAATGCAGATGGCTGCAAATACCTTCATATTTATAGGACAACACTTACCTGTTGCCAGATGTCTTTGTGTTCTTTGCATTTATTACAGTTCCCACTGACTACAAGCAAAGAAAGTTGTCTGATGGTCTAGATCCACATTTTGAAATCCCACTGCAGACACTGGAAGGTGTGGGGAGTATATACTGAAATTATGGATGAGTGCAGCATTAAAATCTTAAATGGAGCAGGAGGAGATAGGGATGGCACCAGCAGGTTGTCCATCTAGAAGTGTGTAAAGATTTATGTAAAGTGAAGCATAGTGAGTACACTAAGTTAAGAGGCAGGCTCAGAGACAAAAATATAGTTGTGAGGGGGTGGATGCAGCACACACAGAAGAAGGGGCACTGGCAGGGTTTAGCAGTAAAAGAGCAACTGTGCCAACTTGCACAGAAGCACAAAAGAGTGCAAATTATTTTCCAGCCCTGAAAGGAGGGCAGTCCCACAACCTAAATAAGTCTTAGCTCACCAGCTTATGAAAAATCAAATCAGTGACCTAATTGCCATTAAGATAACCTCTGAAACAGCAGTAACCTGCATTTAGAGAGTAAAAGGATATATTCTTTTGGCATATACAAGAAGACAAGGGAAGATTAAGGAAAGGGGAAACTACAGACGGGATTGGGGGAGGGACAGACTGAACAAACAACAAACCAATTTTGCTTTACTAAGCAGTTTCATTAGAATGGCTACGAGACTAACTTCATCAGCAACCCTGAACTTTTGTACCTTTCTCTACAGTCTAGAAAAGATCTTTTACAGAATTATTTCTGTATACTACAAATTAGTTCTGATTGTCCATAACCAACTGATGTAAACCAAAGTTTGGCTTCTCTTGCTAAGTTGTTCCTAGCCTAGGCTAGCAGTACAGTTGGAGTTTGTTTAGTTTGGGATTCATTTTGAGGGGGGGAGATGGTGAGCTGGTGGAGGTCTGAATCCGTAGTCATTAAATGTTCCAAGTGTTAAGTCTTACTGTTTAAAAGCAATTCTATCTTTATGGTTATATTCCATTACATTTCAAGTAAGATCAGATGACCCTAAAAGTCTACATAGCAACATGATTGAAAGGGGAACTCAGGGCATCTTTTCTGTGTGAAATTTGAATATTCTGTTATTTCAGGATGTTGCCTATTGTAAGATCTTTGGTCTGAGCTGCCTGCTCAGAAGTTTTGCTTCTGATCAGGATCACAACTTTATAAATTCCAGTTAAAGATCTCATTCACTTTCTGCTTTCTCAGCATTCACCTGAGATGCAGCACAGAAGAAAATGCAAGGGTGTATATGAAACAGCCAGTTGAGACATTAGGATGTTAATGTTGGGCATTAGATAAATAATTACTGAAGAAGCATCAGGTGTAATTCCTAGTTCATCCTTTGCAATAAGGATGCAACATCTGCCCAGTGTTCATGTTCTCAGCATTGTTTATTGGAAGCTGAAATTTCTTTTAAAATTTTTCCCAGCTTACATGTCTTCACTGTAGTGAATTTTCTGCTATTCAAACAGCTGTCTCCAGATAGGACAGACATTTTGTCTTAGCAGCTTAATCCTAGTTGTCTAAGCAAATATTAGAATAAAGATAAACTATATTGCTTAATACAACAGAAACTCTCAAAATTATAAGTGTCTCTTTCGGAAGTCTATAATGACATGACTAGAGTCATCTCAGACTTGTAACATATATGTTAGTCATCAGTTGCTTAGCTTTTGGCTGTGGACTGTCTATGAGAATAACGCACAGAAACAGAGGGCTTCCTATGCTGTTTGCACATTGCTGCTACAGGGAGGAACAAGATAGGGTACAAAACTGTTTAGAAAAATCACCTTAATTCTTAAAATTCCTTTGGAAGCAACCAATGCAATTCTTTATCTGAATTATACACTACAGTATGGTAAATGATCCCATTCCCTCCTTTCAAGTGTGTCAGGAGTCACAAGAATGTATCTGCGACCTGAAGACATCTCTGTTGCTCTTCAGAGTATTTGCTGTTACCCATGCTTGACCTGATGACAGCAACTACCTGTTGCAAAAGGGTTTGTATGGTTTATCTTTTGAAATTTGAACTCCTGAACGTGTCTGGCGGGTAGACCAGCCTAAGTGATGGGCCCACAGGTCTGAAATGTACCTCTTTTAGGTGTCTTCTTGAGCAAACATATAGCAACATTTAAAACATATTACAGACAATTTGTGTACATGAGTTTTAGTTTTGCTTGGTGATGGAGATGCAGAGGACTCAGTTTACTTTCTGGTAAGAACAACTTCTTTGTGTCATTATATCATGACATTATATCCTTCCAGACATTAGGTGTGTGTCACGAGCAGATGAAGTTTAGGCCTGGATTTTCAGGTTACTTACTGCTTTAATAGTGATTACAGTGATACTGATACTGTGATAAAGTGTTATGGCAATACTGAACTTTGTCAATGACTTAAGACCAAAATGAAGATAGTCAATGGCATGGAGAACACAAAATGGGTTATACGTAAAACATTTTGGTAGAAAATACCCATTTAATAAGACTTGACAGCTAGCAAAAAGAAAGACAAATAGGAAGCAAAGCTATTCATTATGCATTAAAAAATTTTGCTTCATTTACCATATTTGTATTCTGCAAAATTGGTATGAACGGATTCCTCTTTACCTAAGCCCAGATAAAGATATCATCCTGAGAATTCCAAGAAATCTGACTAACTGTACTGCAGTTAGCACATGATATGAGGGGTTCTCTAGTTAGGAAATATTTTTAAAAACCAATAGCTGAGCAGAGGGGAATTAGAAGTGATTCTAAAACTTTTTCCTTTTTTTTTTTCTTTAAGTGATGTTTTCCACTGAGTCCTAAATGCCTAATCCACAATCAACACATTTTGTAAAACAGTTAATCTGCTTATGGGGAGCAAATGGGGCGGGAAGGGGAGAAAATGAGAAGAATGGAATAGCTAAGAGTAAAATAAATATTCTGTCTGCAGTATCAGCAATCCCAGGTGTTCAGAGCCATTAGACAATCTCTAAGAATCATGACATTAGAAAAGAAAGTTGTTTAAATTTTCCCATATTTTCAGGCTTTGTACTCATAAAGGCTACAGACTCTTTTAAAGCTTATTTCTTCTTGCACTGAGTGACATGGCTCCACAGACTTTAAGAAAGAAGCTAAATATTGTACGTTATAATAAATTTGTAGGACTTGGCAAAAACTGTGAGCATACTAGAAGTCTTATTATACTTTTCTTCCATTGTATGTCACTGATGTTTGCATCTTCTTTCTGGGTGAGGGAGTTTATTAGTATTGTATATGCTCTCAGAGCTGAAGCTCTCACTGCTTAGACCTTCAAGGTCACTTTGCAAATTGGCTTCATTCTTCTGGTCGTTTGTTTTGCTGCCCACTTACAGCACTTTGTTCATAACAAGGACTGATGCAAAAAACCTCTACAAAATGTAGAGATTTAATTTAATCATCAAAAAGAGACACAGGAAATTCAAACTCCTGACATGAAATGCTACTTGTAATGCATTAGGAAGAGGACAATACAGAGGAGCACAACAATCATTGTGTATTGGAATGATGACATTTCCCCTGGTTTTGTTAAAAACAGACCCAGAATACTCTGCCCTATGTACTTTACAACACAAATTAGTTGCTGTTCCCCTGACAGTGAGTTAAAAACTGGTCCTATGCCGACTCCAAATTGTTTTTCATGTATTACAAGGACTTCCACATCCCTCCTTCACCAGAAAAACCTGTTCCTTGGGCACTCCTCTTCCTCATAGTTAGATGCATAGTCAGAGAGGCCATTATGAAGAATCTTTAACCGGGTGGATTTTATATACAAAATGTGTCCTTGACTAAAGTTTTAATACCTCTGACTGTTTCTATGGTTTGTTTGGTTTATTTTTGAGATTCTCTTCTAATTTTTCACAATTTTTTTTTTAACATTATTTTGAAAAAATGATCCTTTCTGATTTTAACACTCCCTCTACAAGGTAAGAGACCTTCTCCAAGACCACCACAAGCCATTTATAGTTAAATTAAGGATCATTACCCTCTTAACTTCAACTTTTAACTCACGTGCTGCCAGTACTCCCCTTTCCCTTAACACAAAAGAGTGTCTCAACTATCAACCTGAGCAACCTACACAGAAAGGCGTGAGGTGAAACCCAGCTTTCCCATGTGGGTTCTTCCTTCACTTTACCAGGAGGACTAATTGACACTTGTCTGTTCTCATAATTTGAATCCAGTTCCCAGAAAGGTAGACAGGTTTCTCCACAGTTTCTTGTGAAAGAATTGGAACGACGTATGCCACTGCTGCTGACATGAGGACATCAGCAATACATCTAAGGTCATGAAGGATCAGTAAGGGCATAATCTTAGATAGGTTTTTGCAGTGACTCACACACCTGAGTGTTAATCCTTGCAGCAAAGGCATATCCTAAAGTAGGACAGTGAAATTCTCCATATTAAATCCCATAATTTCCTGGTAATTCCCACTCTCTCTTGAAATACTTCCTATGGAAATGACAATGTGAAAAAGGATTGCAAGTCTGAAATGCATGTTTTGTCCTTCCCATCTTCCCTGATGTCACTGGGTTTAACAAAGGGCATCACTTTTTCTTCAGGCTGAGCATACAGTACTTCAGACTTTTTTATGCCTCATGTTACAAGCAGTACAGATGCTGCAGGCAAATTATATCCTCACATTAAACCAACAATACAATCACATAGATTTTATTTGAAAACACTTAATAGAAACATCACTCAACCCAGACTACTCTGGAATCAAAGCTGAGATTGCAAAGTAACAGACTAAGCTAAATGTTCTTAAACAGCTCTGCACAGGAGTCTGCAATGCAGTTTTGAGTTGAAATTCAGATCTGCTTAGTCATCATACTGATAAGAGATTTTGGATTTATACAGATTTACTAACAGCCTTTTATAAACCTGTTCTTGCTAGATTCCCACAGGGATCATAATTTCACTTTTGAGATATAAAGTAACTGCCAAAAAAATCCTGATTTACTCCAAACTCACCAGTCCTTTGGAGGTGAAAAAGGAGAAAAGAAAAGATGTGTTCTGTCCAACTCTGATACCTGACTGCTTTTAACATTGTCATTTTTCATTTTTATTCATCTATTCAATTAAAAACTTGCCAGTTAAGTACAATACTAGCTACATCAAGTTCTTCCCCAATACCAGATGCAATTAAAAACTTATTCACTATCTTCAAGTGTTTCCAGAGTTAAAGCTCAAACAGCAGCTAGTTCTCTAATTGAAGCTCCAAGTTATCTGACAAAAGTGACAAAGAGCAAGGCTGGAACAGAGATTTTCCAGTTACAAAACATAAATCAACTACACTAGATCTTTTCTTGCACCTTTCTGGAGCAGTCCAATAAACACACAGTTAGAAAATATATCGGGGGAAAGAAACAAAACCAAGTTTTAATAATATACTTCTTGCACAATTTTAAGATTTAAAAAAAAAAAATTAGTCCCACCTACATCCAGCTGATGAAAATAAATATCTGCCCTGCAAAGTCTCCTAATACTCACCTTCATCCATCTGTACTCTCTCTCCTCGCCCAGTGCCATTTTTTTTTTTTTTTGGTTCCTTACTCTGCAATATTTGGACTTAATACTTCTTTACTTTTATTCCTCCTTTTTCATACTAGCAATATGCTTTCCTCCTCCTCCTTTCTGCTCCTAGTGTGGCAACATCTCCGTATTCCTTACAGAAATACCTCTCTTTTTCACAGCTGAGCATGAATATGGGCTATCTTCTGCTTTGCACCTGAGGAGGCTGTCGTCCCAGAGGGGTGAGCAAGCTGCCAGGTTTCATCCATCTTCTGCCTGCCCCTTAAGCCAAAGAGCTTCTATCTCTGAGAGGAAAGGCCCTCTAGGATAAGGCTGATGGGAACTACTGAAAGCACTTCTGGATCTAATATATCAGTCCTTCTCACGAATGGGGAAAGGAAATGTCTGCTCTGTAACTTTGAACTGTCTAGCTTTTCAATAAATGTGAGATAGCTTTAAATAGACATATCAAAAACAGTTACAGTTTGTCATTATAGTGGGTCCTGTGGTTGGTTTTGTTGTTTTACCTAAAGCCACTGTCTATGGAGTCATGTGTCTAAGCCATGTGATGATGAAAGATTCTGCTCTAGGCAAGCAAGTTTTTGTCCTTCCTCTTGACAAAGAATTGCTTACATTTGTGAATCCTAAAGCCTTAGAAAACCAGGGAAGTACAGAAGATGCATTTCTGTTATGTGATACAGATACCCCTTGATACAAAACCCTCCATCTCTGTTACTCGCAATGCTTTGAAGGTTCAGTAACTTTTGCATCTGTTAACTTTGCTACTGGAATAGCTTTTTATAATCACTCAATACACAGAACTAAAGCAAACATGTTAAAATGTCTGTAGGATTGTAACCAAAGCACATTTAGACATCTTCTGATACATGGCTACTGATTGGGTTGGGTAGCTGTATTCCAAACAGTGTTCCACAAGCAGATTAATATTTCAAAGGACGTCATTAGTATTCTTCTCCAAAATCTGGAGATTTCCGGAACTCAGAAGACATCTTTATCACTTTAGCACTCTGTACCCAAAAATAACTATAAAGAGACAGAGCTTTGTTCCCCCAAGAACATTTATTTCTGATACAATTAAGGAAAAATACCTTTTTTCTCTTACCTTAGGTAAGTGAATTAATTGCATTAATTCATTGGGATGCACACTGCTAGGATTGGACTAGTTACACAGAAGCATTTTGTCTAGAGAAAGTTCAATTGTGGAATGAATTGGAAGGAATCTAGAACGAATTGGATTACTGCACGGGAGCTAGAGAAAGCAAAATTACATCTATTTCCACAGAACATTTTCTTTTTTTTTACTTTGTAGTTAACATTCTCATCATGTATGTAAAGTTCACAGCTGCTGATTAAAGATTGCAAAAGGGATGTGGAAAAAAAAATCTTTTAAAACATACAGAATGAAATAGTTTGAGTGGCACTTTGTGATTTGTTTTCCAATTAGGAATGACATTTAATTTTAAGATTTGAGCTGTTTTTAAGATAACATTTTGTTGGTTCAGGTGCATATGCCTACTACTGTGATTACTGACTGTAATTTACAGGATTTTAGGCACAGAATAGGCCATATGCTCCCTTGTATCTTTTTCCAATAGTCTCAGTTTTAATGTGTAAGACTGTGCTTACGGTTGCGAGTGACAGAACCCCAAATTTATTTTTGGTTCCAGTTTTTATGTATTTCTAGATTATTAATGAAGCTGTAGGTTTTAGATCTTCACTGACTTCACAAGTATTTGGGATGGGCCTTTCTCTTCAAGAAGAACAAAGGAAAACACATCTTGTTACGCAGATCATAATCTGTCCTAAGGTCAGTTTTGAGGTGTGCAGACATCAGCATGGATTTGACAGTTTTTGCATTAAAATCCAGTGGTCAAACTAATAAAATGTACTTTTTTTTTTTTTTTTCATAATAAATATTTGTAAGTTGTTTAGTTAAAAATGGCAACGGTTACAAAGAAAATACACTTTTTAAAAGTACCCCAACTGTATGAAATGCTTCATAGAAATACATAAAACTACATCTCTACTGCTAACTTGCAAATAAGAGGCCTGCCATGATGGCTGCATGCTCACATTAACCTGACACAAATTGACTGTCTCCCTGTGTACCCAGTTGCTTGCTCCCATCATCTTCCTTATGCTGGTACAAGCACTGAGGCTTTCTAGTGAGTGCAGTCAGGCAAGTCAAGGAGCACATGCCACCCATTTGGCAGCAGCATTTAATCAGCAGGATTTAATCACATTAAACTGACTGTATAATCATGACCTGATTCTGCAAAACCGTAAGTTCGAGTTTTGCATCTTAAAAGACTGCACAGTTTAATCATGTTATAGTTTCTATGATATTAAGCACAAAGCAGGACACCTATGGAAAAGAAAACTATTTCCACTTCAATATGATACAGCAGACAGAAGTCCTGAAGGAAAACCATGATGAGGGAATTACTATGTTGGATATGTGCTTTTTATATAATATCAAAAATAGGTGTGCCGCAAAGTAAAAAGAGGAAGGACAGGGAAGCAGAATATTTCCTGTTTTGTTTTCAGAAAATTGTTTACTTCGAAATGCTTGCATGTCTTTAAAAAATGCTTTAAACAAACTGCCTGGATTAAATCAAAATTATGAATTAATGTAATTATGATTTCATGTGTTATTCTGCGTCTTTTAGGACTGAGGCTTTGATCTGTGACATGCTATGTCGTATTAGGGTTTATTACAGACCACCATGCTGTTACTTGGCAAATAGGGAATCTTTCATTATGCTAAGACTTGCATATAGTTAAAGTATCTTGCTGGGACTATAAAAATAATCTTTTTTCCTATATGAGCTTAATGCAGTATTTCAATTTTGGTTTTCATAAGTGATAGGGAGATTTTCCAAACCAAATAAATAGTCAGCTGTTCTTTATGTATTAGCTGTTGTATAACATGCTGATTACTGCTGAAGGGTTTGTTTTAAATTGTATTTTCAGATTGGCTTTTATAAGATAACAAAGTTGCGTGTGTGGGTGCATATATATGTGTGTGAATGTGCACGCATGCACACATGCATGTTTATCTTTCTCCCTGTTTTCCATTAATACGTTAGAGCCCCTTGGCTAATTCCAACCAAATTAACTTAGGACCAGAGTTCTAAAAATAAATACGTTCCTACAAGGCTTGGAAAATGTCCAAGTAAAATAAGGAAATCTTATCAGTGTTCTGATTAAAGGAAAAGTATGTAAGTGCATACATTAGACACTAGAGAATCTACCTTGAGGACACCCTGTATAAATATCTCAGATGTGGAAAAGAGGGACTTTCTTGGCCTATGCCAAACTGGATGGTGCATGTTATGTTACATTCCACATGCATAGCTGTCTGGTTTCATGTCTTCTTTCTTTACCAACCTTGGGAGTATTTCAAAGTTCTCCATTCATGTGTAGCCTTTGATGTTACAGACATGAGTCCCTAGAATACCTGGCTTCATGAAGCTACCTGAAGAGTTTTAAAGGATACTTGTTGCCTCCATCCAGTCTGTGTGGATGTTTGTTGACAGCAGACAGAAGTACCAAGCAGGCAGAGCCTGCTACAGGAACATATATCCAGCCCTGCTACGCTGTCTTCTACCCTCTGGAATCCCGCTATGGGTTGTGGAGATACTCTGCAATCAGATAGCTAACTGAAATGTCTAAAGATAGATTTACAAAAGCTTCTCACCCCGTTTTCACCTGTGAGGTCATAGGCCAGGCTCCATGGACTAGCAGAGACAGTGCTGCCAGCCACCTTCAATGGTCGATCACACAGCTTAAAGGAATTAAAAGCACATGAAACTTGGCAGGATGTGCCTCACTTGATCCTTTATAACTGGTTTTTTTTTGGGGGGGGGGGGGTTGGGGTTTTTTTTGTTTGTGTGTGTTTTTTTTTTCATTTGTCTGATAGTTCCAAGCAAAATACTATAGGGCAGCATAAAAGTTTATACTTTCTCATGAGCCTCATATGTGTCTCAGGTATTTTTGTCAAAGCTCTTAAACTTACTTATTCTTACATGATCTTGATTTTCTTAAAAAAAAAGTAACAAACACACACAAAACATGTTTCTTAATTTTGTGGTTGAAAGGAAAACTTTAAGAAGTGATGTGATGATGAAAAAGCAAATCAAAAGAAATTTAAAAACCCACAACCCCACACTTATAAAAATAATCTCAAATTGTTTGTAGACTAGTCTCATGATTTTGATGCATGATTCTGAATGTCCTTCTATTGTTCTTGTATATTAGTAGTGTATCTTAGCTGGACAAAGAAGTCAAAGGGGACATGCAGAACACCCATAGCAACAGCAATACTACAGTTACATACTACTTTTAGATTTTTTTGTTTTCTGTAGGCTAGAAAAGGCACTCTCCATTTGGCATAGGCTATAACTCTACTATAAAAATGTGTTGTAATTTGGTCTTTTCTGGTTATACTATATGCAAATATATTCAAAATGTTTGATGAAGAACTAAAATTTTCTTCTTTGTGAAACTGCATTTAGTATAGAAACTGAAAGGAGAAGAGACTGGTTTATTGTTACTCTTACTTGAATTGACAGGCATTTGATTTGGCAATACATTTTCCATGTTCTAAAAGGCTAAGAAAATATAAGGACAACTATTTACCCCTTTTAAATTAATTATGGAAGACATTTGGGGAAATAATCATCATCCCTGCATGAAACTATTGCTTTAAAGGCAAACAGCAGTCAGAAAGAGTGGATTATGTAGCTTTTTCATGTAGTGATGCACATACATAGTAAGAATGTCAAAGCTTCTATGGAGTTTATGATTTTTTTATGGAGCTTTTTGGGAATGTTGGTATTTCTAAAATATTTTAGTATAAAAACTTATATGGAAGACCACTGATGATATATAAAACAGAGTCTAAAAACTTTAATTATCTGTGAATGCATTCCATAGTTCAATCAGAAAAACGTATTTATAGCCAAGCTGTGTTATAACTAAATATATATTTACTTAAATTCAAAGACTAATATGCACAATGAAGAAAAGTTATATTATTAAAGATACAGCTTCTTGCTATTTCAGTTAAGGTATGAGATTTCAGAATAAAATGGTTGAGGCTCCTGTAATGTCTACAAGACCTAGAATTACAAAACTTAACATTCATGATACATTTTAAGTTAAAAAAATACTTTCAAACCCTAGCCAGAAATGATAATGAGCAAAATAAGCTGCCTTAAAAACTGGAAATTGATAATAAAGTTTGGTTTTGTGAGGATTTATGACCTAGTCCTGCATATACTCTCAAAATAACCCCATGTTGCCCCAGGTCCATATAGCACACCCACCAAAGAACTCTGGTCTTTTCTGAGACCTTTGCTGACCTCCTCCCTAGAAATATCTCCAACGAAGTCCACCATGATTTGCAAATATATCCCAAATACCCCAGCACAACCCAAATACCCCAGCAACCAACATATTCTAATTCTATTTTATTTTACCTGCTGGTTGTACATGACAAAGCACATGGTATGATTAGTTCAGTTATGCATGTGCTGGATGGCTGGCCAATGTGTGTAGATCAGCCAAATGCTTCTGTTAAATAGGGTGTAAAAATTTCTGCATTCTTCATGTCTTTCTTTTAATGAACGCTATTAGCAACTGTCTTATCTCCCTCGGTGTCATTTTTTTTCACTGATCTTGAGGACATACACCAACTGTGTAACTTCAATGCTTTTGTTGTCACTGATGCTACTAGGTTCCAAGTTACCAGAAGGGGAACTTGCAGAAGCAGAACCATTTCATAACCCTCATTTTCCGAGGAAAGCACAGACAAAAGAGCCAAATTCAAGTTTAAAAAAGTCACATTACCTTCTGACTCTCTTCCGCATTTTTTCGTATTGGTTTTAATATAAAAATCATGAACAATTACTAGATACAAGTAATTCTAAGCATGTTCTTTTTGAAGCCCATGCATTTCAGCATAATGCATTGTCTCCTAAACAGATATTGGGTTAATTATATGATTCTGAACTACTACAAAAGTGGAAGACCAACAAATGCTGAAGAAGAATAAGCCTCTGAATCGATGTGTCTCATGTGAAGACAGATTATATTCCCTGGATATCTATTCAGGAATGACCCCTTAACGTGTGGCTCCAAGCATATAATACACTAGGCCTGCCTTTCTGCAGTAGTTTTGCCAGCCCTAGATTTTGAGTACAGGGTGTCACTGATGAGCATTTCATTTGTGAGGCGTGTTCTACATTGTCTCTGTCAATCCAATTATAATTATGTTTATTCATGAAAATCTGTAGTAGTTTCTCATGCTCTCCCAAGCTTCTAACATTAGTGCAGGAATACCGTAAGATTCTTTATTTTGCCAACTTTATAACAATCTGTCTGAATTTCCTCTTAATCACATTATCTTCTATCTTTTTCCCGTATAAGCCCCAAGACACCTAATTTAGTGCATTGTATCTTTCACATTGATGGCTCTAGCTTTATGCTTAGCTGAGGAACTGAATAAAAATTAAAAATAAAAACCTCTACAATCAAATAAGGAAGTTACTAATAGGTGTATAAATTCACAAAATTATTTAAAAGTCAGAAAGTATATCTAATACAGCTGCTATATGTCAAACAGACAACAATGCCAAAACCCCAAATTATAAAATTTGTGACAAAATGTTTTGAAGAATTGCTGTCTTTTATTCATCACCACAATTGCTTGGTACAGTCTCTTGAAGACTAAAAATTGCATTCTCTGCTGCAATGCAGATCATAAATAATGGGAAATAAGTAAGTATTTTCTCCACCATCTTTGTCCTAGCTGATGTTTCTAATGTTTATACACATATACCTATGTTCAATTGTCTTTTTAGGATAATTTTCTTT